TGGCGCAGGTTCAGCAGATCCGACAAGATGGCGTCCTTCCAAGTAAAGGACACGAATTGTCGGGTTAAGTGGCCGGTTCAACTTGAGAATCCGCAAATTGCTGTTTATGCTCAAGCTCTCTAGACCCATCACCATGGCTACGGTTTGTCAACTGGTATGACATTGAAATTCTAGTCAGGGCTCTATAGAAAATGAATGGAACTAGAAGATCTAAAGCAAAGCCTGGCTTAGAAAACTGATTTCCGCGTAACTTTCCCTTCGTCTGAAGAGGCGTGTGAAAGGACTTCGTAAATTGGCCCCACCGGAAACGCAGGATGGAGTTTCTTGCAGTTGTTTGTGCCGATTTGTGCTAGAAAGCCCTCAGCGCAAGTCTCATTTGCAGAAATCTACAGTCACACCTCCAAAACGACCTTCTTTCGGTATCGGCTGAGGCCAATTGACGAATCACACCGACTTGCCTCGTCAAGCGTCAAAAACAACTCATGCTTCACGATTTCCTTTGATGCACCAGCAACCGACCCTTGAAGGCCTTCAGGACGACCATCTCGTGTCGATCTAACGACCATGGCGACCGCCACCCTGTTAGCAGCTCTGGCATCAGCCCATCCCTCGTGTCCCCTGGAGACTGCCCGCCGGAGTCTTGTCCGGTTGCGCTCGAAAGAGGGCAATGGTAGTTGGCACATCTTCCCTGCTGCCCTATCAACGCGTGCAGAGACATTAGAAATGTACTTGTTTGGGTTCGGAAAGCGATTGACCCCGGTTTCTCGGGGCGACGACCTCTTTCGCAGAGGGCATAAATCCCTAGATTCCCTTATATGCAGTGTCTTTCGAGGGAGGTCTTTTCAAGGTCACCGTCACGAGTCATAATCAGCGGTGGCAAAACAAGCAGAAGAGTCGGTAGTAAAGCAAGACCCTCTATCACTACACACCGGCCGACTGGCAGAGCATCGGTGTTAAGGAAAACACCAAAACACTAATTACCGGTTTAAAATAACATACCGAAACTAGCGCATAATAAAACAATCAAAGTGGCAGAAATTCCCGCGGAAGCACAGACTGGGTTGAGCGTTTTCTGGGGAGAGATTGGGAGAAGAGGAGCAGGTTGGTCGCGTTGTGCACGGTGAAAGTTTCAACTTGGAAGGGTTAAGCCAACAACCGACGAGCAAACCACCAATGAACATGGGATTTTGAAAGAGTCATTTGGGCGCCTGACTTGGAAGGATCGAGTCGAGATGAGTTTCACTTCGACTTGATTGACAACTTTTGCGCCACTTTCGGGCGAAAACTGTATCCTCGCCCACAAAGCCGAGCCTCTCGGACTCGAGCTCGAGCCTCCACTTGCCACAATGGCTACCTCGGCTGGTGCTACTGCTGAAGTGAATATAAGTAACCCTCAGTTGAAACTGCTTGTACTAGGGTCCTTATACCGAAGCCGCTCACTGAATAGTTTGACAACGTAAACTGATTTAAATGCTATTTATTATTTATTTGTCAAACCGTGAATTCCTGACTGAAGCATCCGTGAGGAGAATATTAGTATGTCCGCATTGAAACAGTTGCTTCCTGATACAATCACAAAAGCTGACTCGGCGGGTGCTACTACTGCAGTAATTATAAGTAGTCTTTCCATAAAACCCTCATTTGACACTAACTGGAGAAGAAAAGTGGTGTTTATATTGTGGCCTTTCTTCCGAAACAGCTCACCAATCAGCCTGGCACCATAATTCAATGTAAATGGTATTTATCCTTTATTTATCTTTTTTTGAATCCTTGGCCGAAGCAGCTTATACCAGCCCCATTTTTTTCATAATTTCCCGTTAAGATGAAGTAATACAGCTGGCATTGTGTAAATGTGCCGTATCGTTATTTGTCATTTATTTTACGGATAAAATGAGTCTGTTAGTCGTCTAAACATTTGTTGCTCTATACAGAACCAGTCGTTCAAAAAAGATGTAAGTCAACAGAGTACCCCTTCGTATTCGTATTGAGTAGGTTTATAACCTAACAGTAAGGGCTGAGTAATAGCGTTTGCCGCCCTAGATCGCTTAAGATGATGGAGAATGATAGATGAGTTTTCCCTCAATCAGACCAGTAGAAGCCACAGGTACTAAAGGGTGTTCTTCTCCCGCCTGAAGGGGACTACAAGTCCGATTTCGCCTGGGTTACATCAACTATCAAGCCTTCATCACTTTATGCAGCATAGGGTGAAGACATATCTACTCTTATTCAAGATCTTCTGGTAGTTTCGTGGCCTACTTAATGCGAATATAAGTAGTATAAGCAATCGAACTTGAAAGGACAAGTTATCTTCATCGACAATTCGACAACAAAAATGGGACCCAATCTAGCCACTGTCAGCGTGGCTGCTCTGTAATAACCGAGATTCTATTCTCGCTGCTGGTAGTGATGACAGAATCACCGGCAAGATAGAAGCTGCTTTCCAGGCCAGCCTGGATGAGAATACTTATTTGGAGACACTTCTGAGCGAAATTTAATGTGATCATTGTGGGAAAATTCACCCATCAGTGTTGCATCACTTTGTGTGAACTGGGCTGACCAAAGCTCTTAGTCAAGATCCACTGATGGACCCGAAATGATACTTACTTCTCCTGGAATCTATGCTTGTAAGTTAAGGAGGCACAAGTGAGGCATAGCGAAATCTGGACTTCCTCCGAGAGCGATGCTTTTATACCAAAAGGGATCAAGGACTTTTCGAAAACCACAGTTCCGGTCATATTTTTAGACTCACAAACGGAATGATATGTGTCTGTAAAATTTAACAAGAAGTCATCCGACCTGCAAGTTTTGTGGCCCCAACCCTTTTGATAAGCTATTTTCGCCCTCAAGTGGCAAACAAAAAAGGGAAATGGATGAGAAAACATACTCACGCCCTTAGCCAGCATGCACATCAGCCAACGCCTGCTTGTACACCTCATTGTCTGCACCCAAAGATCAAGTATTTCTAAGAGTTTTATCGCAGACAAAAAGGTCAAGGGGGTGGTTGTTTTGGTTTGGCCAGAGGCTCTTTCTGCTGTAAAGACTTGTATGAGATGTATTCACCCTATTTCGTTAAAGGGGATAAAGGGCTGGTAGTAGAATTATCCCACAATTTAATGAGTAGAGCTCTACTCACCTTAAGGGAAATAGGGTGAATAAACCTCATATTAATAATCTACTGGTAGTCTCGAAACTCTATCTACATACGTAAAGACTTATTTGACCTCTCATCTACTACTTTTCGTGATTGAGTGATTCTTTGTAGAGCACATTGCATCCTTCGTGCCCTTGCATAGTAGAGCTCACTTATAATTCGCGTAAAAGTTGATAGTTGTCGTTTGGCTCCGCTGGAATATTCTGGTCGACTCCTTCATTGAAGCAATGAAAATGTGTCAAGTCTTCGACTGTCATATGACAGACATCATCCAATACAGGTACGATTCCTACGAATGCGTCAGGCTAGCTTTTCATATGAATTCACCAACCTATCAGTACTAAAATTATATGAATTATTATGAAGTTTAGAGTAATTTAGTGAGTTTATGTCATACGCGTGTATATGTAGCTGTGCGTTTATGTGCATTCCTGTTCCCGATCATTAAGGTTTAATAACCTTTCTTTCAAAAACCATTCCGATTGTGTAATACTGGATACACGACTTGTTTAAATAGTGAACAATCCCTATGACATCAGATTTATATAAAGCATAATTTCACTCGGAAATATTGACCATACGTCCATTTCAAATGAAAGTGTGTGATGAGGTGATTTGAAGGTTGATTCTTCAGCTGATGCAGTCCCCAATACAATCTAT